AGTATTTCACAAAGTATATATGTAATAAGATTTGCACTCTCTATGGCAGATGCTTAAGATTGGGACTTTAATGTTACATAAAATGATATTAAAAAGGACATTGATATGAAGAAACTGATTTTTAAAAAATCTGACTTTGTATTTTTAACTACAATGGTCTTTATTTTGCATACTGAAATCTATTAATTGCAATTGGTGTGGTGGGCACCCAGTCCAGCTGAAAAATCAAGCTAACATGTATTCTGTCTAAAGTAAATTCTCATATTCTGATAACACAGAGGCACTTGATAGGATATGAGGTTAAGTTAAGCACTTTACTATGGGAGCACTTCTAAAATGGGCAAGGGCAGGACAAACTGGCTAAATCGGGTGTTTTATTTACATAAACAAGAGAGCACAACATAATTTAGTTTCATCAGGAATTTTTCACAGACATTAAAACTATAGCAAACATAACAGCAGGGATGCTTGCACAGCAACACAGTGGGGAAGCTTGCAGAGCGTCTGCCCACACTATGGCTGGCAGTAGCCAGCACCATAAGTCTCACAATTTCATTAGCACTCAAAAATCCACCTAACCCACTCAGTTCTGATTAAACAAAAAAACAAAAACAAAACCTAGCAGTTGAATCAACTGTGAATTGTTAGACATACTCTCGGGTTACAGAATTTGCTGTGGCAATAGCATGTGACATTTTGAACACAGCATAAAGTTTATCCCCCTTCCCCCCCAAAAAAAGTGAGAAGAGCAATATAAAAAACTAGGAAGGAAACACTCTTAAAAAAATCTTAGTGTTGGGGACAGCTCAATAGTTCACTATTTTATGCAGAATCATATAGCACTTTTTCCCCCAGTAACACAAGATACTAAGGTTCAACAGGACAAAAAGAAGCAATCATGGCTTGAAATAAAATTAAGTATTAATGTGAGCCATAAATGCCAGTTTAACGTTAAACATGCACAAGTAACTGAAGCTGCTGGTAAAGGGAAATGGGTACTGTAGTAAAACTACACAAAGTAAGTCAGTCATGAATAATGCAGCAGGTCTGAGGAGGGTCATAGGTCAGACTCCAGTACCTTACAAAATAATGAATGCATGTCAGGTTAGAGACATACATCCCTTCCTAGAAAATGTGAGTTATTAGAGATAAACCTTGGACTTCCTGTTCTAAAACAAAGTGATGTGTTGTAAACAGCTACGTCCAGTTTAAATTAATGATTAAAAGAAAGATTCAATGGGATTTGTTTAAGTATTCTTTATGGACATGAGAGCTAAAGGTTACTTTCTTTGTTCATTTTCACCCAGCCACTGTTAATGTTACAGGCACATCATGTTTTCTTCCATGTTCAAATGTTTATCCAAAGCTCATTTGCAAAAGAGCCTATATAATATTAAATACTTTGTAGTGTGTTTAATGCATTCTTTGTTTAAATATAAACAAAAGTATCGCTACAGTCCTGCTTTTTTAGAGAACATTATTTTTAAATCCAGTAACCCAATTTTGAAATATATGTACTAGCAAAATAAATGTACCATCTGCAATTCACATAAAGCTATCTTAATTTGCTAAATTTGTTACATTCTCCTATATGTCTCCTAAAATGCTTAAAAAAAAAGAGGAGGAACACTAACTGTCCTCCCTCTTTATTATCTATATGTCATTTTGGGTTGTTTTTATTCATGTTTAAACAATTTAGATAAAAGAAAATAACTTTTTAGAAATTACTGATTATTTTAACAAATAATTTTTGTGATGATAAGTTGTGCCTTTGTACTATTTTAACTTTAAAAAACTAGTCTATTTCATATTCTGAACTTAGCTGTACAATTTCAAAAATTAGTGTCATATCGACAAAATGTCTTCCCTTTCTTTATCTGGTATATTAATAGGCTTTATTGGGCAACAGATACTTGGTGATACCTCTTTGATAATAATTTACAGAAATCTTCCAGTAGGATTGCCCTCCCCTTCTCTTTAGTTTGATAAAAAGGCATCTATGAAAAAAATCTTTTCAATTAGAAAAATGAAAGAAGAAAATCTTTAGTGATGTTAAAGTGGAATTCAAGGATTTGGGGCAGAAAAGAAAATGCACAGGCATTTCAAAATCAAGAATAAGAACTTACATTCGATCTACTGTTAAAGGTTGCATCGGCAAGGTCAAGAGCAGAGACAAGTCTGACCACTAAGATTGAAAAAAGCAACAAGGTTTTTAAAAAAGTAGACACTTTATCAACTTCAGTTGATAAAGTGGGAGAAAATTTTCTATAACAAATACCAAAAAATAAAGCATATATTGCTTTTAAAAAAACCAAGATTAAGAATTTTAATGAAAAAGTAGCCAATATTTTCATGGAACTATAAAAGGGAGCACTGTGGTAAAAAGACTGGGCTCAGCAGCTTTGTGTGGGAAATGGTGAAATGTGACTGTGATTTATAATGAGAAAAGGTATCTACAACATACAATTTTCTACCTAGCTGCAAATAATAATTCATAGTGATGTCCCTTCCAGATAAAATACCTTTGCTGTGTAAGACCCATGTGGTAAAATGATCATGATAAATGTCAGACCAATGCAGGTAACGGCTTTACAAACCATTAAGATTAGCTGGCTCTTTTTTTCGATGATAACAGTAACCATGCTGTGACTCTATGTGGTAATAATATCTCAGTACTGATAAATGCCAGAGCCAGGCAGAGGTGTTTATCATTCCCAGTTCAGAAATGCTGACTAAAGTTACCACATGTTGCCTGTTTTTCCTCTTTTACAATAGGCTAACAATTAACCAATAGGCCGAATCATAAAATAATTTTATGCACCATTTCTTCTAGAATTTCTGTTCTTTAGCAATTGGTTAATTGTCTCCCACCCTATTTCCTACTGGCCAGGTCTTTGGTTATGCACTTTAAAAGAGAGTAAGAGTCTGCCTTTAGTAATGAGCTGATTAGGTATTTTAGCATCTCATTGTGCACTTATGAAATGCTAAATACCTTATGAATTATATCCATATAAGAATCACCCTCCTGAGCTCTGAAATGCAGCCACTTCTGGGATGGATGGTGACATCCAGGTAGACATCTGGGCAAATCAACATAAGGTGGGGAACGGAAAAACTTCTCTACAGAAGCCATTTTTCCAAGAAGTATTGTGCACTCAATAACATACAAGCATCCGGAGAGTTGATTTGTGTTGTTGGGCTTCTTTCATAACTCTAGTTTTTAAAAATCCCAGGATACATTTAGAGTCAAGATAAGTCGGTACATCTGTGCTTAAACACAGGGAACTCTCTGGAAAACAGAATGGAAAATACTGTTGAGTGATATCAGTTGAAAGTATAACTGCTAAAGTTTTATACAATTTTGGATAGTGACTTCAATTCAGTTCTCACAGGACAAGGTGTCAAATGACAAAAATAGCCACCACTTTTGACAGCCTCAGCAGAAAGGCCGATGACTTTGAGTTTAGATTACTGAACTTTGAGATTGGACTAGCTTCCAATTGGGTGCTCCCTAGATATCATGGTCAAAATAGGGCTGTGCACAGAAAACTTCTATCTGTCCTCCATACCCATGTCTCATCTGTGAATAACTTCATTCTCCAGGCTTGTGAGTCTCCCAACCTTACCTGAAATTATATTCACGTGAAATATTTTAAAAGGAAAAAAATAATCTATATGTTAATTATTCTGAAGCCTAGGCTTTTCTCAAAACACATTGTAACACCTATTAACAAGAAAAGGAGTTAAGGGCATGTGACAAAGAAAGGATAGAGTTTCCTAGTAAGAGGCTACTCAATTAAAGTCAGTTTAAATTATGGATGTTTGGTGGTATATATTTGCTTTTTAAATGATAAAATCATCAGGGTGGAAACTGAGTTTTCATGTGTTTTTGTGCAGCACCTAGCACAAGATGGCTCAACTCTGATTGGAGCATTTGGATTCTAGAACAATATAAATATTCAATACTAAAATAGATTTTGAATTATAGATGATAATTAAACCATACACGGTCAGATCAAAAAGGAATTCTTGGGTTATCTAGAACTTGTAGTATGCAAGATGTTTTCTCTATATCAGGCCTACAGGCATTTTATCTAATCTGTTCCTAAATGAAATCACAGTTGTACATATCTCTGTTTTAGTAGCAACATCTCATGCAAATAAATGCAAATAACACAAACATAAGCCATATGTAGAATGTATGTCCTTGAAACTATGACTCACGCTAAACTACAATGCTTATCCTGACCAAGATAGTAGTAACGTTCCTACTCCCATGTTCTTTTGTCACCAGTTATATCTTGATAACACCAATTGTTTTCTACCAAAAGGCAATTTAAAAGGATGGTACCGATACAACCAGTTCTAGAAGATAGATTAAAAAATGGAATTTCATGCAGCCAATTGCTGATTTCTAAAAAGCATGAATTAAATCATAATATTAAATTTATATCTGTGAATGTATGGATCAGATGCATGATATAGAGAAATTAGAGGTAAAGTGAGGAAAGCGCGCTAATAGATGTGGTCAGAGGAGTGAACAGAAAAAAAAGATAGCAAAGATTACAGCATTAGTCAGTTTTAGGAAGTGCCAGCTGCAGCTCCTAGTGCACTGGTGGAATGCTGTTTCAGAATAGGAAACTCCATTTCATAAGAACGCTAGTTACTGTTCACAGGTAGGTCAACTATGGAATAATTTTCATTTGTACCAAGCCAAATGGTCTATTAAAATAGGCACATAGCCTACAAAGTCAGTTTTCTGATGAGAAAATGTTTCATGCCCGTTCAAAAGATCTTTATGCATTCCTTTCAAGCTATAAGGTAGGCTCTCCATCAACATTTCAGATGGGAAGACATTCTAAGATGGCTATACTTGTATCCATATTAACAGTGACTTCTAATTTAAGCTGTAGTTGCTAAGATGTCTGGCATAAATGTAAGCATGCAATCTCCTAAAGTGATACTCAAATCTTATACTTTTTTTTGTTTTTCCCCATCAGAAAATTCAGACAACAACACTCGAGTTAAGTCCATAAGGCGTCTTGTACAGGAGCTCCCTAGGCCAAACCGTGACACAATGAAAATCCTCTTTGAACATCTAAAAAAGTAAGTTAAGCTAAGAGCACTAAAGAAGCCTGATTTGGGGGGAGAGGGAGGCGGTGGGGGAGTGGGGCCTATGGAAGCTAGGTGTCCAAACCGTTCTCAAATATCTAACAATTTCAATGCAAGATAGTCATTTTGAAAAACTGAATATTATTACCAGATATGTACATATATGCTCCCTCTACTCACAAGAACTTCTGTAAGGCTAAACTTATATACTCAGTGTATTCTATTAGCAAATGGAACAGTTGTGTTTCTCTTCACATGCGGCGAGACACTTTGGATTACTGTACACTAGGTTATGCTGAATTATACAATATAGCATTGCCCAGAATAACCAAGGATACATATTTGCGGTTGGTTTTGTAAGTTACAGGTTAGTAAATTCTCCTCCCATTTCTTTTTTCCATGTTTGAGATATGCAGGCATGCCAATGGGAGGAGTGGGGAGATCAAAGGGGGCAATTTTCCTGGGGTCCAGACCATCCCTCAAAAGGGCCAGGGGCTCTTGGCCACCATTGCTACTGCATCAACAGTGGTGGCCATTGCTCAGGACCTTTTAAATCAACATTGAAGTCCCGGGCAGCGCACTTCTGGCGAGGCAAAGGGCAGGCTGGAGGATGCTAGCCCTGAGCCCTGCTCATTCTGCTTGAAGCCCTGCACTTTCCAGGAGTACAAAGCCTCCCCCCTTGCCCAGTTGTCAGGCTCCCTGTAGCTATGCACAGAGCAAGGTATGTCATCAACAAGTTTCTATTCATATAAATGGCTCTTGTGCATCCATAAGTCATAAAAAAGACCTGCAGTTTACATGGGAAATTAGCTGTTCTACCTTGTAGTGAAGTTCAGTGTAGTTCAGAATGCCTGCACAAGCCCTTAGGAAAGATTTTAAGTGCCCTTCTCCTCTGGCAAAGTTGATGAGCTACCATGTTCAGATACTATGGTTATGGATGTGGCTTATAAATCCAGATTTGTAAAAACAGCATTGTTGTGTTCTATGTTTATCATCTCTTGGCAATTTGCATAGTCACTGTACCCAGTTTACAAGAGAGAAATATGACAGCCTTACAAAAGCAACCTGAGGTCTGATGTTCGAGCTGGGCTTGCTTGCTTGCTTTCTTAGTGGTAATGAAGTTTCTGAAGGCAGTTTTTAAAATGGTCTGAAAAAAGGAAAAGGATCTATCATTTTCTACAGAAATTAGAAAGTGTACATCTGTTTGTTTCCTAGTGTCCCCTTTCCCCGCATCAGTTCTGCCCTGACATCAGTTCTGATCTATCCGTTCCCCCCTTCAATGGTGCCTCGCTTCCAGTTCCAGGGGTTCTTCTCACTCTCTCTCACTCTCTTTTAACTAACCTGACATTTTTAGGACGTTTTTCCTAATGTCCAACCTAAACTACAGTTTAACCCCACTGATTCTCATTCTCTCCTCAAAGGTTAACAAGAACCATTTTTCTCCCTCCTCCTCGTAACCTTTTATGTTCTTGAAAACTGTTATCATGTCCCCTCTCAGTCTTCTCTTCTCTGGACTAAACTAACCCAATCTTTTCAATCTTCCCTCAAAGGTCATGTTTTCTAGACCTTTAATTATGTTGGTGCTCTTCTCTGGACTTTCTCTAATTTGTCCACATCTTTCCTGAAATGTGGCACCCACAACTGGACATAATGACTCCGGTTGAGGCCTAATCAGAGCAGAAGAATTACTTCTTATGTCTTGCTTATGACATTCTTATAATACATCCCAGAATGAAGTTTGCTTTTTTTTGTAACAGTATTACACTGTTGACCTGTATTTAGCTTGCAAACTACTTTGACCCCCCAAATCCCTTTCTGTAGTACTTCTTTCTAGGCAGTCCTTTCCCATTCTGTAGGTGAGAAACTGATTGTTCTACCTAAATGGAGTACTTTGCATTTGTCCTCGTTGAATTTCATCCTATTTACTTCCTACCATTTCTCCGGTTTGTCCAGACTATTTTAAATTTTAATACTAATCTTCAAAGAATTTGCAATCCCGTCCAGTTTGGTATTGTTTGCAAACGTTATAAGTGTACTCTCTCGCTACATCTAGACTGCTGCTTTTTTGGGGGGGGGGGATGGTATGCAAATTGTGGAGCATAAATCTTTTTCAGATTGTTTTTTCGGAAGAGGCTTTTTTGAAATTTGACCTGACTACATAGGGCCAAATTTCAGAAAAACCTCTGCTTTTGGAAGAGCCCTTATTCCTCATAAAATGTGAGGAATACAGGGCTTCCGAAAAAGCATGTCTGTTCTTCATCAATAAATGTCATAAGAGCAGACGTGTTCCCTGGACGCGGCAGAGATTTTCTGGGATACTGGAGTTATCCCGGAAAAACTCCGTAGTCTAGACATAGCCTCTGTGACATTTTCTAAATCACTGATGAACATATAGAACAGAAAAAGACACAAAATTGGTCCCTGTAGGATCCTAACTCAATATGCCCTTCCAGCTTGACTGAGGCAGTCACTGGGCTCTGGTCAGGTCTCCTTTCTTCCCCTTCCTTTGTCCCAATAATGGCATTAGCTTCTGAGTGGACAGGGGAAGGAGAATTCTGCCCACAGGGACTCTGATTGGCTGTTGACACCTCCACAATCCAGCTCTGGTTGTAGAAATTGTATTTTCTGGTTGTGTGACTCCGTTTGATCAGGCACAACATTAAGCACTATCTGTAGGCCAAACTATTCCTTCGGTGATTCACCTGGAGTTGAATTATTTTTAATTGAGATTGGACAGGTGTAACGGATTACAATGTAGTAAACAACAAAGGATAGAATCCAACTCTTTCTTAACTATGTTGACTCTGTAGAGATTATGAAAGTCAGAAATAGGTAACTGATCAGGTGAAGTAAGACGATGCCATTTTTCGCAGTCACTTCTCAGAGCAGAATTGCTCTTAACATAAGGTGTAGGACCTAAGTGGTTTGTAGGGCCCAGGTTTCCAGTTTTCAATTGAAACCGGCCCTGCTAACTGGGCCACTGACTGTCCAGTTGACGGCACTATGCAGCGAGGTTGGCACATTGCCAGATAGCCTTTGTGCCATGCAGTTCCCAAGAAGCAGCCAACATGTCCTCCCTTTGGATCCTATATAGTGGCAGTCAGAGGGCTCTGTATGCTGCCCCCGGCTCAAGCACCGCCTCCGCTGCTCCCACTATCTGGGAACTGCAGCTAATGGGAGCTGTGGAGTGGTACCTGTGGACAGGGCAGCAGGCTCTGCAGAGCAACTTGGCCGTGCCACCATATAGGAGACAGAGGAGAGACATTCTGCTGCTTCTGGGAGCTACGGGAGGTAAGCACTGCCAGGAACCTGAGCCCTGCCCCCCTTCTGGGCACTAACCCTTTACCCCATCCCTGATTCCCTTCCTGCTCTCTGAACCCTCAGTCACACCCTAGAGCATTACCCTGCATCCCAGTCTCCTCTTCTCCAGTTCCACTGCAGAGCCCTCATTCCCCTCTGCATGTGCCCCAACCTTCACCCCAGCTCTGATCCCCATCCCACCCTCCAAGCCTTGTGGTCCCACCCTTCTACATCCCAACTCTTCATCCCCAGTCCCAACCCACAATCTGCATCCCCAGTCAGAGCCCTCACCTCCCCACACACACACCCTAACCTTCTGCCCCAACCCAGATCAGCCTCCTGCACCCTGAACCCCTCATTTCTGGCCTCACCCACACCCTCAGCACCGCGCCCAAACCTCTCCTACACCCCAACCTCCTGCCTCAGCCTGGAGCCTACTCCCATACTCCAAATTTCTTGGCGCCACTTCCCAGCCTAGAGCCCCCTTCTCTGCTTCAAACACCTCTCCCCTGGCCCACACCAGAGAGCTGCATTCCTGAGCCAGAGCCCCCTGCCTCCTGCATCCCAAGCCACTGCCTCAGCCTGGAACCTCCTCCCACAATCTGAACTCCTCATTTCTGGTCCAACCCCAGATCCCAGCTGGAGTCCTCTCCACCCTGCCCCCCGAGCCAGCCCAGTGAAAATCAGTGAGTGAGTGAGGTTGGGGAGAACAAGCAACAGAGGTGGGGGGGGGGGGGGAAGGGATCAGGGCAGGGCCTCAGAGTAGAGGCAGGGAAGGGGCAGTTGCTATGCTATTGGTTTTGGGAGAGTAGAAAGTTGGTAGCCCTAGTAGAGCCTTGTGCAAGCCCTTGGCATAGGGGTGAAGTTCACAAGTATAAATAAGAGTGACTTCCACAAAACACCAAAATCAGCTTTTAAGG